AATACATTGCATCTTCCAAAGGAGGAAATCAAGCGGTTTGGCTAAGAAAAATTCTCATTGATTTGAAATTGGAGCAAAAGAATGCAACTGTGATGTTCTGTGACAACAAAGCCGCCATTGCCATCATCAAGAATCCAGTACTTCATGATAGAATGAAGCATTTCAAAATCAAGTTTCACTCAGTAAGGCAGTTGCAAAACGAAGGTGAAATTGATCTACAATTTTGCTCATCCGAAGAGCAAATTGGTGATATACTCACCAAGATTCTGCCAAAACAAAGATTTGATGTACTGTGTGAAAAACTTGGAATGCGAAGACATAGCTCCATGGGGGAGTGTTGAAGTCAGTGGTCCTTTGACTCAAAAGAATTGAGCAAAAGTCTATCTAAATTCCTATCTTAAGATATTTTATCAAGGCCCTACTTATCTTCTTATCTTCTTACAACCTAGCCACTAAGTAGAAGAGTGTAAGACTTTGCACCCACTTGCCCACTTGCTTAGCAAGTGGATGTTTGTTTCCTACTTGTTTGTTGTTAAAACTTGTAAGACCTTGAGTCTTTAAATGCTGCAATATGATGAAATAAAAATTCAGCAAGCTATTATCAAATAAGTCTCTTCTTGCTCTTTATGTTTTCGCTACTCTTAGCATTCTTGCTCTTAGTCTAAACACACAAAATTCCTACATCCCCTGAAACCTATTACTTCATCTTAAGAACGAAGTAAATCTAAATAATGTAAATCTACTCATGTCGTTGCACAAAGCTCGATTGATGAGTTTTCTTTATATCTGATGTTTCCGTTGAACATTGTTAAAAGAATAAAAGATAGAATAGTAATGAGAAGAATGATTTTCAGTGTTTTTCATTGGAGGGTTAAGCCCATATATATACATTACAAAGACAGAATATTCCTTTAAGATTTTATACAATAATAATATCCTAGAGTATATTCCTAAAATATTCTAAAGCATATTCTAAAGATAGAAGAATATTCTAAAACATATTCTAAAGAATATTCTAATGTCTTTCACACTCCTCGTCAAGTTGGAGCATAAATATTTATCATGCCCAACTTGTTACATAAGTAACCAACACGAATTCCATTGAGTGCTTTAGTGAACAAATCTCCAAGTTGCTCTCCAGTCTTCACATATCATGTAGAGATCAATCCTTCTTGTATCTTTTCTCGAACAAAGTGACAATCGATCTCAATATGTTTTGTTCTCTCATGAAACACTGGATTGTTGGCAATGTGTATAGCAGCTTGGTTATCACACCAGAGTTTAGCAGACATTGGTGTCTTCAATCCCATTTCACTCAATAAATGGTTTATCCAAATTATCTCAAATGCCGATTGTGTCATAGCCCGATATTCTGATTCAGCACTCGAACGAGAAACCACATTCTGCTTCTTACTTTTCCAAGAGATGAGATAACCACCAACAAAGACGCAATAGCCAAATGTGGATCTTCTATCATTTTTAGATCTAGCCCAATCAGCATCTGCAAAGCATTCTATTCTCATGTGATTATGATTTTGATAAACAATACCTTGACCCGGTGACCCCTTCAAGTAACATAATATATGCTCTACAGCATTCCAATGATCAACTGTCGGAGATGACATGTATTGACTTACTACACTCACTGAGTACGCAATATCTGGATGGGTAACTGCGAGATAATTAAGTTTTCCGACCAACCGTCTATATCTTTCCGGATCTTCGAATGGCACACCTTCATGAGTGAGTTGCACATTGGGAATCATGGGAGTATGGCTTGGTTTTGCCCCCAATTTCCCTGTTTCAGTTAGTAAGTCAAGCACATATTTACGTTGAGATAGAAATATGTCTTTCTTACTCCGTGTAACCTCAATTCCCAAAAAGTATTTCAATGAGCCCAAATATTTCGTCTGGAATTGACTATGAAGAAAATTTTTTAGGGCCAAAATACCTGCATTATCACTCCCTGTAATCACAATATCATCGACATACACCACAAGCAATGTAATACCTGCTTTCGTTCATCTGTAAAATACATAGTGATCCGATTTGCCTTTTATCATCCCAAATCGTTCAATTGATTGGCTGAATTTCCCGAACCATGCATGAAGACTCTGTTTCAAACCATAAAGAGACTTGCGAAGTCGACAAACTTTCCCATACTCTCCCTGAGCAACAAACCCCGGAGGTTGCTCAATATAAACTTCCTCTTGAAGATCACCATGCAAGAATGCATTCTTAATATCCAACTGATGTAAGTGCCAACCATGAGTTGCTGCGAGAGAAATAAATAACCTGACAGATGTTAATTTAGCAACAGGAGAAAATGTGTCAGAATCATCAACACCATAGATTTGAGCATACCCCTTTGCAACTAATCGGGCTTTCAACCGAGCAACGGATCCGTCAGGGTTAACCTTTACAGCAAAGACCCACTTACATCCTATAGACTTCTTCCTTGTAGGCAAGTCTACCAAATCCCAAGTACCATTAAGATCCAAGGCATTCATTTCCTCTACCATGGCATGACGCCAATCAGGATGAGATAAAGCGTCTTTAACAGACTTGGGAACAAAAATAGAATCAATGGAAGCAATAAAAGAACATGAGGCAGATGATAATTGATTGTACGACACAAATGAAGAAATATGATGAGTACAAGACTGTGTACCTTTACGTAGTGAGATGGGGAGATCAAGATCTAATGTAGAGACAGGATCTGAAGATGCAGGTGTCGGTTCAGGATATGAGATTGGATCAGTATCAGGAGAAGTAACCATAGGTGGAGGGTGATCTTGCACTTTGTCGACGGGTGTATACCAAGTGTAACATGTGGAAGAATTGTTGAAGTATTGGACTCGGGTATAGTGACTGTGTAAATGAGTATATCATCATTCTCCCTACAGATATTTGTGTCTGTTGATGAAAATGGTGTATTTTCATAAAAGGAGACATCAATTAAAACAAGATACCGACCTATACTTGGAGAAAAACATTTGTACCCCTTTTGAACTCGAGAGTAGCCTAAGAAAAAGCACTTTAATGACTTGGGATCTAACTTTGTTAAATGGGGATTAACATCTCGTACAAAACAAGTGCAACCAAAAACTTTAGGAGGGATAGGAAAATTTTCATCATTTGGAAATAGGCACTGATATGGAGTTTTACCATCTAAAATAGTAGGTGGCATTCGATTGATCAAAAAATATGTGGTAGATACAGCATCCGTCCAAAAATGTTTTGGCACATTCATTTGAAATAGAAGAGCCCGTGCAATTTCAAATAGATGTTTGTTCTTTCGTTCAGCAACTCCATTTTGGAGAGGTGTGTCTACACATGAAGTTTGATGAATTATGCCATGTTGAGCCATATACAACTTAAATGAGGCAGACAAATATTCTTGAGCATTATCTCCCCTTAAAATACGAACAGGTACATTAAATTGAGTTTTGATTTCAGCATAAAAGGCACAAAATGAGAAAATAACTCAGAACGAAGTTTCATGAAATAAATCCAAGTCATACGAGAATAATCATCAACAAAGGTAACAAAATATTTAAAACCAGCTTTGGACACAACAGGGCAAGCGCCCCAAACATCATAATGAACAAGTTCAAAAGGAGCATGTGCTCGTTTATTGACTCGAGGACTTAGACTAGTTCGATAATGTTTTGCAAATTGACATGAATCGCACTGTAAAGATGACACCTTATTGAATTGAGGATGAAGTTTCTTTAACAACGAAAGAGGTGGAAGACCCAGTCGATAGTGAGCCTCTAACACAGTTCCAACCCCAAGGCAAGAGATTGATTTGGGTAAGGATGTATCCAAGAGATAGAGCCCAACCGACTCATATCCTTTACCAATAACCCGATTCGTCAACAGATCCTGAAATACACAATATATAGGAAAAAAGGTTACAAAACAATTAAGTTTACGTGTGATTTTGTTGATCGAAACCAAATTAAAGGCAAAATTTGGAAGACTTAGGACGGGTAACAAAGGTAAGATAGATGTTGGGACAATTGTACCCGTACCAAGAACTGGTGACGTAGATCCGTCAACCAAAGTAACACTAGAAGTATGAAGAGGATTGTGGAATGAGGAAAAAAGACTAGGATTGCCTGTCATATGATTTGTTGCTCCTGAATCGATAACCCATTTTGAGGATGAAGATACAAGACATGTGTTTGATTACCTGAATTAGCGACAACGGAGATAGGAGTAGATGAATGCTTTAGAGCCTCCTGATAGCAAAGGAATTTGGCGTATTCCTCAGAAGACATAATCATGGATCCATTAGATGGCTGTGTAGCGGAAGCAATGTGAGCAACTTGATTTCCTTGATTTTTGAACTTAAGTTTTCAACAATCTTTGATCAAGTGCCCGGGTTTCTTACAGTAGTTGCATACTACTCCTTTGCCCATCGGTCCAGTGTGTGGCCATTTCTCACCTCCATTGGGGAATATTGGGACTTGGCCTAAGAAAACATTGTTTGGCTGAGGTGTTGATGATGTGGATGAAGTGTCAGTAAAATTTCATTTGTATTAAAAAAAATGCACCTGAACTAGCCTGGTACCAGACCAGGTACTCGGATTCAAGACCACGGGCCCACAGCCCATATAGTTCCAAGTCAGATCCAGTCTTAATTATTAGGAACCAGGACTGGCTGGTCCAGGACCAGAACCGGGTCCAGCCTAGTTCAGATCTTCCTCTTTGTCATCTACACTTTTTTTATAAGACTATAGTTCAGATCTTCCTCTTTGTCATCTACACTATTTTTATAAGACTACGAGATACTTGCTCTCTTCACAATTTCACATAGCTCGAAAATAATTATGTTAGAGTTGATAAATTGTAAAGATTATGACGAGGTTAGATAACATACTGAACCTACACTAAATTGTAAGCATATTTTAACGGTGTAGACGTGTAGTAAGAGACGTACGTTCTATACTAAATAACCAAGTATAAGTGCTGCTAATTTCTAATATGGAGTAATAAATAGTGTACTTTTTACTTCCCTTGATACAAGTTCATGTACTAAAGTGACACCTTTCTTCTTTTTTCACACTATCAGATATCATTTGGGCTTGAATACTGTCTTTTAAATAGCAGTATAATAAACTATGTTTGTCATCATTCCTGAGAATTGTACCTGGCCACTTGAGTATCTGATCTCACTTGCACACCCCTATGGGCCTATAATGCCATTGACGGCAGTAAGTGATTGTTATTATAATCCTCATATGTATGACTATGAGTGAGAATGAGCAGTGCCGAACCACAGCACTTCAATAATAAAACGTTTCTTACATTTATAATTACAAAAAAAAGACATGCATGACCATAATAGGTATTGATTGGTTCGTTTAGCAGACCTCTGTAAATTGGGATTGAGGGTTGAATGTTGTGGTCGCAGTAGAGGAGAACCCCGTGAGTGGAGAAGAAGCACCAACAGGACTAATTAGAGTTCAAAAGTGGGGACTTGAGAACGAAAGCCATGAGTAGCCTGGTAATGCAAGCGAGCTACTAAATTCCTGTATGGATCCTTCTCTCTCTTCTCCTTCAAATAAGCTATGCATTTGTTCACTTCTAATTTCACCTCCAGATACACTTCATGCGCTTTGTCCCTCCTTTTCAGATCCTCTCTTCCTGCAACACAGTGTTTTAACCATCATTTTATCTCCACCGTCCCTACCAGTGGGCTAATTAATTCCACATATATGTTATCATGCAAATATATTCCATAATGAGCAAGTATAAGTCTCATAATAATCATAAACACGTGTTCATCCGTATAAAATGAGCTAAGGATTTGTTTGTTAGCCGGAATGCAATTACTAGGAATTTGGTTAGTCGGGTTGCATGACTGGGAATTTCATTCAAACACGTTTGGAATTCAAGGGAATTAAGCAACACTGATGCAAAGTCAAGACATGTAAAACATCAAACATCCACTTTCAAGAATTGAGAATTCCCGCTAATTCTGATTTCATACATAACCATAGGATGTCATATCCAGTATTAAGGTAAATCCTGAAATTGAGTGTATCCAATATGAAATGTAACTCTGATTTCATAAATAGGCATAGTGATCATAGAAAAGTTTGTGGTTTGTCGTGTGTGGCTCTACCTTCTGTTTCAATTGGCTTCCCGAAATAATAGTAAAAGCGGCCAGGTAGTTTTGGAAGAATGATCGGGAGATGAACATCTTGGTTTGCAAGTTCACCTTCTGCAGTACTCCTGCATGCATTTAATTCACACTCAGATAGTCTTTTATGAACAGATTACAAACTCATCTTGCTTTTAATGTTTTTAGGAAGAGACATACTATAGAATCCAATGTGTTTAAACTTAGAGAAATGAAAGGGTAAGAGACTGACTGTGAAATATACCTCAACTTTACTGCCTCAGCAGTTAGTTTCTCTATGGCATCCTTGAAATATGGGATTTTTATCAGGTCATGGTAATCGAAGAGCAACTGAATGGAAGAACAGAAAGTCAGTCACATGATCAGTTTTTTACAGTATACTTGTTTGTACGAAGTGACGGAGCATATGTGTGAAGGATTTATCTTATATTGTATGTCTCCCTCTTTATCTATCTAATGCTTTTAACTCTGATATCACATGTAGATTCATGTTAGCAGACCCAAACTCTTTTGGAAAATGGGACTACGGCTCAGATGTTGTTTACTTGCTTGTGTAAATGCATAAGCTCCAAATTCTCATTCTTGCGTCCACCAAATAAGAAGCATTTTGTAATAGGAAAGGTACTTTAACTTTTGAAAATAAAATTTGGCACTTTGGCGAAAATAACTTTTTGTGCTTATTAGCACTGGATTGGAGCTTTTTGAAAGAACATTTTACATATTCTTCTGTCCATCCAAATCTTATTACAATACTCACATCAGATCCAGTCTGAACTGGTGTTGTTGTTATTATTATAATTACAATTATTACTATTATTACTAGTCCCTCCATCCCAAATTATGTCTGGTTTGGGATGAAATGAACCGGGAAAAGGGGTCAAATACACCCTTCTACAATTGCAAAACAATCACTTAAACCCATGCACTATAAAAAACATCATAAAACCCCATCTACTCTAAAAAAATAAGTCAATTAAGCCAAAATACCTAAAAGGGGTCAAATACACCCTTCTACAATTGCAAAACAATCACTTAAACCCATGTACTATAAAAAACATCATAAAAACCCATCTACTCTAAAAAAATAAGTCAATTAAGCCAAAATACCTAAAGGTAACCTGCAATAGAAGGTCATCCTCACTTTTTCTCTCTCATAATAATTATTATTATTCTATTTTTCTTTTGTGTTGCTTAGTTAATACGGAGCAGCAATTGTCTAGCAGATTACCTGGCCACGTATGCCACACCCAAACCTGCCGGCTTATCCAAATTTTTCATTAAAAAATTTGCCACCTGGGGGATTCGAAACCTAGACCATGGGTGAGGCACGTCAGACGCAAACAAACTCATCTACTTCTTTGTTGTTCAATAACTTACCTCACCATATTTTAGTTATATTTATATTTTTAAATATATATAAATTTGTGATTATAATAATAACTACGAGTATTTTTATTGATGTTATTATAGGAGTATTATACTACTACCTCCGTCTCGAAATAATCGTCCTGGTTTGACCTTCACACAGATTAAGAAAGTGAAGTTGACTTCACGCTGCAGCGACACTGTTTGGTACTGTGGCGACACTGTTTGGCACTGTGACGACACTGTTTGGCACTGTTTTGTATAGATTTGTTTACCAAATAAGGAAAGGAGACAATTATTTCGGGACGGATCGAAAAGGAAAGCAGGACAATTATTTCGGGACGGAGGGAGTAATAAACTACAAAGTATTTGTAAAAAATTCAAAACATATATCAATATTATTTATAATTTGGGATAAGGGTCAGATAGGGCCTCGAACTTGGGAAAAAATGTCAAATAAGGCCATATTTAGGATGCTCTGTCCGGCCAACGCCATTTGGGGCGGTTCCCGGTGGAATTTTTTGATGATTTTTTTGAGAATCTTATTCATTAAGTCTAGTTTACTAATATCAAATTTGAACTAAAACTTCAATCGGGAAGACATTCAAATGAATTCTTGAAGATAACGGTTCTTTTAACTGCGCAGTTATCTTCAAGAATTCATTTGTATGCCTTCACGATTGAAGTTTTAGTTCAAATTTGATATGAGTAAACTAGACTTAATGAATAAGATTCTCAAAAAAATCATCAAAAAATTCCACCGGGAACCGCCCCAAATAGCGTCGGCCGGACAGAGCATCCTAAATATGGCCTTATTTGACATTTTTTTTCAAGTTTGAGGCCCTATCTGACCCTTATCCCTTTATAATTTCAATATATAAATATTATTTTCACATATTGTCCATCCAATTATACAAACATTTTGAATTTACTGAAACTATGTTTTGGCTCTTTTCTGCATATTCTCTTAAGAATTATTAAATTCTGAGTTAGGATAATTTTTACCATATAAATTTAATGTAATACTTCCTCCGTTCTTTAATTCTTGCAACATTGTGATTTTTGCACTATTCACAAACCTTACTTTGACCACGATTTTCTACTAATATACATAATCAAATTATTACGTATAAAATGTATTAAATTCCTATCCATGTGAATTTCCATATCAAATTTTTATAATGTTTACTAATACATAATTAAATATAATTACAGTCAAAGTTGTGCGTTGGCAAACGTGAAAGTCAAACTGTTGCAAGAATTAAAGAACAGAGGATAGTATATAATTAGCTGTATTTTATGTTTATTTTTTCACTAAATATTGACTGGTTTTCTAATCAAACAAGCAATGTCATTTTTATTACTTATTGTAGCTGTACATTCAAATTTGTACATCTGAAATAATTATTCTGTACATTTTAAATTGTTGAAGAATGCGGTGCATAAGTTAAATTATTCTTTATTTCTATCATTAAATTAGTATATAAGACATGTATTATATGCGGTATTTTTAAATTGTGAAACGTTTAAAACATGTCGTATCTTTATTCATTCCATGGACGTATGAAACATATATTTAGCCGTATTTTATATAATTGTATCGTATTATACACAAATGTACGTATTATTGTATTATTCATGAATTGCATAATACTAACTAAACACAAGGATCAGTAATAAAGAATTAATGGGTCATGGGTCAACCTGGTCAACGCCTAAAAAACCGGCCAATATTTCGTGAAAAATAAACATAACATAGTTCATTATATATTAGATTAAAGGGAAAATAGCTTAAATGGAGTAACCCAATCCTTAAATGTTTTGAATCTTTCACAATAACTCTGTAGTTTATTAGTATAATACTCCTATAATAACATCAATAAAAATACTCGTAGTTATTACTCCCTATGTATTTAAAAGATCACTATATTAGGCACTGACACAATATTTTAGGGAGAAATAGTAGGGGTAATGAATAGTGGAGAATAAGTATGAGAGAAAGTGAAAAGTAGGAAAGAGAAGATAAAAAGTAAAAAAAAGTAGGGGTAATTAAGTATAAAGGAAAAACTTACCAAAAAAGGAAAGTGTAGCAAACTTTTAAATACGGAGGGAATATTATAATTACAAATTTATTTATATTAAAAATAATAGTGCAAGGTGTTTAAGTATAAATATATGACGAGGTAAGTTATTCAACAACAAATATTTAGTCGAGTTGGTTTGTGTCTAACCTGCATCACCCGCTTGTCCATGGTTCGAATCCCCCTGGGTGTTGAATTTTTTATGAACATTTGGTAAGAAGGCATGTTTGGGGGTGGGGGTGGCCTGGTAATCTGCTACTACGTATTTACTAAGGCAATGCAAAAGAAAATTAAAAATAATAAATATGAGGGAGCAAAAGTGAAGATACCTCCTATTACAGGTTACTTTTAGCTATTTTGGCTTAATTGATTGCTTTTTTAGAGAATGTATTTATATGGTGCTTTTTACAGTACATGGGTCTAAGTGACCGTTCTACAATTGTAGAAGGGTGTATTTGACCCTTTTTCCAATGAACCACGTATTTCTTGCCAAAAAAGGAAACTAAACTTTCATTTTGAACAACTCGAAAAGGAAAACAAGACACATAATTCGGGGCAGAGGGAGTATTATTATTATTATTGTTATTATTATTATAGGTGTACTTAAATATTACTCCGTATTTGAATATTATTACTAATAAATTTTTAAATAAATAGGTGTGTTTAATTATTATTATTGCAACGTAAATGACTCTGAGTCATTTCCTTGAGCTGATGACATATATTATGGTGCTCATGACATTATAGTATGGGGTCATTGCTAGTCTAAATCAAGATTACTATTTATTATTCAAGTATGTCACGTGGTTTTATAATTATCACATGGTTTTATAATTACAACTTTTTCATGTGTATAACAACACCAATAATAATAAACAATAATAATATGTATTGATATAGTAATATGCAAATAATAACACTAAAGATGTACACTTAGATAAAAAAGGATTATGATTAGATCAGACCATACCACAAAGATTCAGATCAGAAAAAATCATATTTTGTTGTTGACTCAACTCATTAGAATGTTGAGTTCTTTGCGTGAGGAAGCAGGTGAAACTGCAAACTACTACCTTCAATCCAAAACAACCAAAATTCTAACAACCACAAATACATGCAAAAATTTTAAAGAACCATATGTGACTCTCTTATGGAGTCACATGGGGTGTTGTGGCATTATCTCTACCATTTAGTGGGTGTTAGAATATACATATTTAATAGTCAATATATTCTATGTATATATATGGTAGCTAATATATTCTCTACGATAGACTAAATATTCTAGGTAAATCTGACAGATTTAGTTTCCTTTTTGTATTCCCTAGCTTGTATGTATTTATACTGGCCATACCTAATGATAATGAAGTGTGATTTCATTGCATCTTTAATTCTTATTACTCAGTTTACATGGTATCAGAGACACACAGGTTCTTCGGGTAGTACTTCCCGAAGTTCAACTCTGCTCCCTCCCTCTGGTTCGATACAGCTCTCTTTTGTGCGGCACAGGACGTTGTTCGCAGGCGCAGGCGTGGTAATCCGGATAGTGCAGAACAATTGTCGCAGGTCTGATTTTCTGGACACTATCTTTACTATTTGCACCAGTTCTCTTACCTTGTTCTTGTTATCACTCTTGCCCTAGTTGTTTGCAAGCATGGGTGATGATAAGAAGAGTGTGACTGAGATTACTGTCGGTAATGCTAGAATTACCGAGAGAAAACTGACTGGTAGTAAAGATTACGGGCAGTGGAAACGGACTATTACTAGATACGTTAATAGTCTTGATCTGGGAGATCATCTAACTGAAATGGCTCCTCCAAGAAGTAATCCTGATGAAAGAAAAAAATGGATGATGGCGGATGATAGGTTGTTCAATCAAATTCAGAA